CTATTATCATTATTATCAATAATAATAAGAAAAAACGAAAAACTGATAATGTCAATAACACTAACAGCATTAGATAGAGAGAGCGTAGTAATTTTTTTTGTATAAACATAAACAATATAAATAAAATAATAAAAAAATATATAAATATATAAATTATAAAATGTATATAAATAATAAAAAAATTTGGTAGAAGATAATCAAAAACAAAAATTTTTTTCACATCTACAAAGTTTTAGAAAATCGATCGATATGTTCAAAAATTGAATAAAATAAAAACTTGAAATATTAGACGGGTTTAGATGTTTTAGATATATTTTTTTTAACAAAAATCAATTAGACAATTTTAGATACATTAATTTATATATAGTAAATAATACTGTAAATATGTAAATTATTAATTAGTATATTATAATTTGTTATGCAAATAAATGGAATTACGGAAGAAAAGTACCATTGAATCAAATTTAGCAATTTTGAATTAATAAAACACAACAATGTGCCATTGTAAACTTTAACAAATTGGTTAATTCCGTGGTTATGTATGCATAATCACGTGTATATTAAATTTGGTCTTATATGTTATTTATTAGAAAGAGAGAAGCAATTTTGAAAAAAGAAATTTATTTTAAAAACGTCTTATGCTTTGTACATACAAGTAAGATTATCTGCAATATCTATATATATTAAAAAAATCATAACGTCAAAGTATCTGCTCGCTGAACTTTTCAATCAGTCAATCAATCAATCAATCAATTTAAAGATCTTCGAGTTTCATGCAATATGTGTGTGTGTGCATTAAAAGGAATTATGGTAAATAGTAACTGCTGAAACTGTTTCTTTTTTATATACAGTATAACTAAATATTTACGTGTCAAAAAAATATTAGATATTATTTGTGAATTTTCCCCCAAACAGCTAATAAATAATAATAAGTCGCCTTCATTCTAGATAAGGTTAAATCCAAAAAAAACAAAGAAATACAACATTAATGATGTTCATAATATGTTTGATTGTTGGTTATAAAGTTTGTTGAATCTCTCTCTCCTTCATTTTGTTTCTTTGACATGTAGAGTTAGATGATTTTATGTGATAATTGATTAGAGAATCGTGATAATTCAGAAAATCGTTGATTAGTTACTCAATTATTATTATATAATAACGTGTTAACCCAAATAAGTAAATTCCAAAAAACTGTTCTTATTATTAAAAAAAAAAATATGAATTGGAATATATTTGGAAATTCACAATAGTAATCAGTGCTGGATATAATAAATTTGGGATTTTCACTTGTACATTAACAGATAACGTTTCCTAGCGATCTTTTTTATTATTAAAACAACATTTTTATTTTACTGTTAATAAATATATCAAAATATTATATATATAAAGGTCATGAAAGCGAAAATGGCATAGCAATAATAATAATAATTATTATAATATATGAAATAATAAATAATAAAGTTTTTGAATTTGTCAATGTAAAAAATTCAAAAAATTTATTTTATTTAATTAATACTTTTTCAATATTTTTTTGTAACAGTAAATATTTCGATTTAAGTATTAATTAAAAAAAAAAAAATTTCCAAAAATGAATAACATAATTAAAAAGCTTAAAAAAGTTAAAAAAATAATATTTATTATGATGGCGGGAAAACAATTCTATTTTTACTACACAAAACATTTTAATTAATAAATTCCGCCGTGAATTTTCAAATTAAAATTAAACTTTTTCAAAAACGTCATCATATATATTTAAATATGCTGTACAAAAATCCTAAACCATTTCACCACCAACTTTTTAACCTTGAATGATTGTTTCTTAAAATCTATCGACGGAAAGATCTTCATAACATGTTTTTATGTGATAAAATTATATTCTTGTTTAACATCTTGTTATATATTTTATTTATTTGTTTGTATATTAAGTAACAAAGAAACAAAAAAGATTTCTTTGAGGTTCAAAGCGTACATACGTTTCACCACAATTTCAATTTCGCCATTATTAGTGTTGAAATATGATGATGACGAATATCTCGGTTGAAATTAAATAAAGATTTATAATACTTGTGAGAGACTGGTTAAAAAATATCATCATATAAATCTAGTTTAAACAACTTTTATTTTCTTTATTGTTTGTTCATTCATTAATTAATTTCTCTCTCCCTTACATTATCTTAACGTTATTGTTACATTTGTTACATTTTATAGTATCATCACATAATCTTACCTTTTTCATCATTAATTAATTATTGACCATCAATTTCAATGCAATTACACCATCCAACTCATCGACAACCTTCTCAACACTAATTAAAGAAGAATTAGAATCAACTCAAAAAAAGAAAACCTTGATTTTATCATCACACGTGTGTTATTCGTTTTCCCTTGCTTTTTCCTCTTATGGTGATGAATTCTTGATTTGTTTATTATGGCTTATTGGCAAATTAATCAAATTCAAACAAATTTGCCAATTTACTTTTTTCATCTAAAGAAGGGAATTTTTTTTTGAACACGCGTTTTAAATTATTTAGTGGGGTAGCATTTCCCAATTTTTAACAGTTTTCTTCCTCTTCCTCCTTCTCCTCCTCCTCTTCCTTCTTCTTAGTTTACTTTCAACTATATATGCACTGTTTAAACTATTATCCAATTATTTATTATTATCATTATTATCATTATTATCATTATTATCATTATTATCATTATTATCATAACATTAACAAAACCCCAAATCCTTTTTCCTCCATAAAAATATATGAATTTGTACAACTCGAAAATATTAGCCAACATTTTCAGCCTACATATTTTAAAAAAAAAAAAAATCTTTATAAATTTTTATCATGATCGATTGATGGTTAATTTTTTTTGATAAAACAAAATTAAACTGGTTTTATTATTGTTTATTATTATTATTATTATTATGTGCATACACGTATATAATTAATTAATAAATAAAATTGTTATATGTGATAAAATCGGATTATTTTCAATCATAATCAATCTATTTTTTTATGTTTTGATATAAATACGCTTGATACTAATTTCAATATTTTTTCTCTTGCAAACCGAAAAGCGTTTTATTTTCGGAACTTTTTGTTTATTTATACATACTATTTATTTATTAATTGAAAATTCATACTATATAATAAATAAATTATTATATATCATATAAAATCTATTTGTCTCTACTGTAAATAATAACAATATAAATGTCGGCTCTTCCATTAGCTTCTATCGGGGAATTTTACATTAAATCTAGCGCATCTCCCTCCGGTAATGCAACTTTGCTTGCCCCTGCCGCTCAAAATTTAGTCGTTGACGTAGAACACGGTGGTTTCTTTGGAGGCTGGAGTACTGCTAAAGAAGGAACAAAAGCAATCCTCGCTACTCAAAAAAGCGACAAAGAACACGACACTTATCAATTATGGAAATACGACGATGGTTGGATTATTCACAAACAAAGCTCTTTATGTTTAGAAGTTGAAAATGGTAATTAATGATTTAGATAAATAGATCGTGATATATTGTGAATGCGAGATTTTAGTACCGCGTAAAAAAAATTTGACCAACTCGACTGAATAAATAACTGGTCAATTGAGGCTATTTTTTTATTCTCGAGTTTTAATATGATTTTTTTTTAACATTCACTGATGATCATAAAATTAATCTTGAATCGAATTTTTTGATCTTCATAAAATGCCGACCTACCTACTCACTACAAAATCTGCTATGATATAATTTAAATAAATAGGTAAATCTGGTAACCGCCTGTTACTTCATTCCAGAAAAAGTCCAAATCAAGCTATCAATCAAAGATGGGTCTTTACCAACGAAGGTCACATTGCTTTGCAAAATAATCCTAAATTAGTATTGGAAATAAAAAGCTCATCTGCGAAAGATAATGCACCAATTATTTTGAGCGATAGTAAATCAAAATCTTTCAAACCTGCTTTATCCAAATGGGTTGTGATTCCTACCCAAAAAATAAGAGTTCAAGGTATATTTTATTCATTTTATAATTTATAATTGACGTTGATCTCATTGTTTTACAACAATTTAATCGTTTTATATATATACATACATATATATTTATATTTATAGGCAAAAAAATTGGTGTTGTTAGATTGGAATTGTTAAGTGCTAAAGGCTTGAAAAGTGTTGACGGTTTCTTTTCTGGTAAATCAATCAATTTATTTATTTACTTTAATAATAATTTATTATCTTTAGCAAATGATTTTTCTAACCAGTTTATTAATATATTATATATTTACACATGTGTATTATTAGGCAAATCTGATCCATATGTTAGAGTTTTCCATCAAAGTAATACCAAAGAGCCTTTGTTAGCAACTCGCGTTATTGATAACGAGTTGAATCCTGTTTGGAATGAAGTTCATTATTTACCTGTAAATCATATCGGAGAAAAATTCATCCTTGAAGTAATGGATCACAATACTATAACTAAACATGTAGCGCTTGGTCAAGTTAATTTTGAAATTACAAGAGAACTTGTTAAAGAAGTTGGTGAAAATACCTATGAACCTAATCCAAATGGAATAGATGTGTAAGTTATCATTTACTTTATTTTATTTACAGTTAAAACAATTAACAATTTAAAAATTAATAATAAATTTATTATTTACATAAATAAAATTTATAGATGGGTTAGACTCTCAACTCAAGGCCAAATTCATTATAAAGCTAAATTCTTTTCATTAGCCGCTCCTCGAAAATTATCTCCAGATTTTCTTGCAAATCTTAAAGAAAAACCTTTTGATTCTTCCACACTTTTTAATGTTATCACATTACAATCATCGGACGGTAGCTTTTCTAGCTCACCCCTTTTGGCAAACTTATTTGGTTATGAAAAATCAGAAGAACTTATGACTTTATTCCGTAAACATATCAAAAATGAAAGATTATCGAAAGTTAAAGAGTCTGTTTGTATAACTAGCATGGTCATGTGGTTCTTAATATATTTATTCAAAGATCTCCGTAAAGAATGGAACAGTACTTATTTACGTGCTGAACAATACATCATTAAAGAAGCAGGCGGTAGTTATGAATTGGAAGAACTTATAGTTTCAACTGGTAAATGTGCTATCCGTGATCGTTTTGACATTAAAGTATCAGAGGAAATAGGTAAATTAAAATTTTATTATTATTTTATTCTGGTGATTTTTTTAATCGTTCATTTTCAATCTTTTAATTGATGTATAATTAATTTAATAATAATAATAATAATAATAACAACAACAATAACAACAACAACAACAACAATAAAGGCTTCAGACATAAAAAAATCACATTTACTCAAACAGAAATCACGGTTACTCGTGTACAAAACATAATAAAATATCAAAACAGCGATGGTTCATTTAAAATTGATGATAATGTTGCAAAATTACTTGGTTTTGAATCTATCGAGAAGCTTACTTTAATTCTTACACAACACATAAAGTCACATTCTTCTAATAGTTCAACAATATCTAAATTAGAAATCAATGTTTGGATTACTATCCTTGTAATTTATTACTTACGTCTTATTTGTATCGAACACAAAAAAACATGGATTTCTCAACATGAAAAAGCTTATGTTTGGTTATGGAGCATATTTTTAAGCGAAGAAGTTGAAAGTGAAACCTTTTCAACAATTAAATCATTTGTGAAGGAAGTATACGACATACAAAGTGAGACCTTGGTATCAGATAGTAAATTCGAGACTGAATTTGCTACCAAAAAAACCACTATAAAATCATCTATTAGTAGAAGCTCACAACATGAGATTGAAGAACATCAAAAAATTACTTGTATGTATTAATTACGTTTTTTTACATTTATTTATTTATTCATTAATTCTTAAAAAAATTTAAAAACTCATTTACACATCACACGTATATATATTTAGCTTCGCCAAAAACTAAAATATATACCCGAAAAACTGTTACTATCATTATTGTACGTCGCTTCCTCGGTTATCAAACAAGTAGTGGTTGTTATGAACTTAGTAATCAATTATCTCAATCACTTGGATTTTCTTCAAGTGAAGAAGCAAAAACTCAATTGTTAAAACATTTCTCCTCATTTTCTCGATCTTCCAGACTTGATGTTAATATTTGGAGCACTGCCATTATGATTTGGTATCTTCGTTATGTCTTGATAGATTTCAGATATGAATGGATTGAATATTACAATAAATCTTTGAAATGGCTAAGTAGTACTGTGAAAGATAAAGAAACTGAAGAGGAGGTTCTTGAGGCTGCCAGAATATTTGTCAAGAAAAGATTTGAAGTAGAAGAATCTACAATACAAGAAGTCAGCAGCAGCATTTTTGTAAAACATGAAACTATCACAGTCGAAACCACAAAAACCATCACCTCTAAACAAAATAAAGACGGCTCTTTCCACATTTCAGATACACTTTCTGGAATTCTTGACATTTCCTCAGATACAAAATCTCAATCATTCACATCTACCATTCAAACTTATGCTGTCAGCGAGCGTCTCAAGAAAACTACTACACATTATACTTGGTGGACAACTGCAATTACCATCACTTATCTAAGGTTACATGCTTCAACTCATGAAACAATCTGGAAAATTCATTATGAAAATGCCAGAAAATATTTAAGTGAACAAATCAAAGACGCAGAACTTGAAGAAGAACTTTTGAAAACTTGCTTTAAACTTGTTGAAGAAAAAACAACCAAAAAAGTAACCACTGGTACTACTAAAGTTACTGGAGCAACATCAACCATCGGATCAACAATTAGCAGCATTTTTGGAAGACATGATACTAAATCAGTTGAAACTACAAAGACCATCATCTCTAAACAAACCAATGAAGGCTCATTTTGTATTTCCGACACACTTTCTGAAATTCTTGACATTTCCTCAGATACAAAATCCCAATCATTCACATCTACCATTCAAACATATGCTGTCAGCGAACGTCTCAAGAAAACTACTACACATTATACTTGGTGGACAACTGCAATTACCATCAGTTATCTTAAAATACATGCTTCCTCACATGAAACAACATGGAAAGTTCATTATGAAAAGGCCAGAAAATATCTAAGTGAACAAATCAAAGACGTTGAACTTGAAGAGGAACTTTTGAAAGTATGTCACAAACTTGTTGAAGAAAAAACAACAAAAAAAGTTACTACATCAAGCATTGGATCAACATTTAGTGGCTTCTTTGGAAAACATGATACTAAATCAGTTGAAACCACAAAAACCATCATCTCTAAACAAACTAGTGAAGGCTCATTCCATTTTTCTGACACGCTTTCTGAAATTCTTGAGATTTCTTCAGATACAAAATCTCAATCATTCACCTCTACCATTCAAACATATGCTGTCAGCGAACGTCTCAAGAAAACTACTACACATTACACCTGGTGGACAACTGCAATTACTATCAGTTATCTAAGGATACATGCTTCTTCTCATGAAACAACTTGGAAAGTTCAATGTGAAAAGGCCAGAAAGTATTTAAGTGAACAAATCAAAGACGTTGAACTCGAAGAGGAACTTTTAAAAACTTGTACTAAAATTGTTGAAGAAAAAACGACCAAAAAAGTTACCACTACAAGTAGTTCCACTGCAACACAATCATATGATAAAAAAGGAGAGGGTATTACTAGTGGAGTAACATCAGCTATTGGATCAACATTTAGTGGATTCTTTGGAAAACATGACACTAAATCAGTAGAAACCACAAAAACCATCATTTCCAAACAAACCAGTGAAGGCTCATTCCACATTTCCGACACACTTTCTGAAATTCTTGAAATTTCCTCAGATACAAAATCTCAATCATTCACCTCTACCATTCAAACATATGCTGTCAGCGAACGTCTCAAGAAAACTACTACACATTACACCTGGTGGACAACTGCAATTACTATCAGTTATCTAAGGATACATGCTTCTTCTCATGAAACAACATGGAAAGTTCAATATGAAAAGGCCAGAAAATATCTAAGTGAACAGATCAAAGACGTTGAACTTGAAGAAGAACTTTTAAAAACTTGTACTAAAATTGTTGAAGAAAAAACGACCAAAAAAGTTACCACTACAAGTAGCTCCACTGCAACACAATCATGTGATACAAAAGGAGAGAAGAAACACGAAGAAGAACATGAAAGTATTATTGGTGGAGTAACATCATCAATTGGATCAACATTTAGTGGCTTCTTTGGAAAACATGATACTAAATCAGTTGAAACCACAAAAACCATCATCTCTAAACAAACCAGTGAAGGCTCATTCCACATTTCCGACACACTTTCTGAAATTCTTGAGATTTCCTCAGATACAAAATCTCAATCATTTACATCTACTATTCAAACATACGCTGTTAGTGAACGTCTCAAGAAAACCACCACACATTATACTTGGTGGACAACTGCAATTACCATCAGTTATCTTAAATTGCATGCTTCTTCTCATGAAACAACATGGAAAGTTCAATATGAAAAGGCCAGAAAATATCTAAGTGAACAGATCAAAGACGTTGAACTCGAAGAGGAACTTTTAAAAACTTGTACTAAAATTGTTGAAGAAAAAACAACCAAAAAAGTTACCACTACAAGTAGTTCCACTGCAACACAATCATATGATAAAAAAGGAGAGAAGAAACATGAAGAAGAGGGTATTGTTAGTGGAGTAGCATCATCAATTGGATCAACATTTAGTGGCTTCTTTGGAAAACATGACACTAAATCAGTCGAAACCACAAAAACCATCATCTCCAAACAAACCAGTGAAGGCTCATTCCATATTTCCGACACACTTTCTGAAATTCTTGAAATTTCTTCAGATACAAAATCTCAATCATTCACCTCTACTATTCAAACATATGCTGTCAGCGAACGTCTCAAGAAAACTACTACACATTACACCTGGTGGACAACTGCAATTACTATCAGTTATCTAAGGATACATGCTTCTTCTCATGAAACAACATGGAAAGTTCAATATGAAAAGGCCAGAAAATATCTAAGTGAACAGATCAAAGACGTTGAACTTGAAGAAGAACTTTTAAAAACTTGTACTAAAATTGTTGAAGAAAAAACGACCAAAAAAGTTACCGCTACAAGTAGTTCCACTGCAACACAATCATATGATAAAAAAGGAGAGGGTATTACTAGTGGAGTAACATCAACTATCGGATCAACATTTAGTGGATTCTTTGGAAAACATGATACTAAATCAGTAGAAACCACAAAAACTGTAATTTCCAAACAAACTAGTGAAGGCTCATTCCATATTTCCGACACACTTTCTGAAATTCTTGACATTTCCTCAGATACAAAATCTCAATCATTCACATCTACCATTCAAACATATGCTGTCAGCGAACGTCTCAAGAAAACTACTACACATTACACCTGGTGGACAACTGCAATAACCATTAGTTATCTTAAAATACATGCTTCCTCTCATGAAACAACATGGAAAGTTCAATATGAAAAGGCCAGAAAATA